AGTACAAGAATACACCCCGACTGATTGCCTTCCCTCAGCTACAACCCTGTGCACAGGGCCAGAAATCTGGACCTCTCCGAATGGGCATTGGCTTCGGCCTCCGACTGCCTCGGGGTCAGGCCAAGGCTTTGCATCTGGTGCCAAAAAAAAAGTGCGGCGGGAGTAGAGCCAGAGGAAGAGGCCCTCCAGAAGAAAAGCCTGCAACCCAGGCATCAGTGCAAATCACTGGCACATTCCTCCAGACCGGGAGCCTCCAGTCTGTAGACCTTCAGTCACCAAAACCCAGCCAGTGTTCCAGGTCTATACTTGAGGAGCCAAGACAGGCCATTGCGTCCCCAAAGCCCAGGCCTTCTGTCTCAAAGAGGTCTGTGCCCCTAAAGTCTATTCTCCGAAAGTCGCCATCTTAATTCCAGAGCAGAAAAGACCCTCTGGATCACCCCCTCCAAACCCCACCCTCCCTACCAGGCACAGAGACACCTTGAAGGGCTGGCTGGCAGAAAGCCAGGTATGCTCTCCTGCCCTCAACCCTGGGAACCCCTTGTGGAGCCTGCTTTCCCCTAGTTGAAGAGACCAGAGGCACCCAAGGCCTCATTTAGCCTTCAGTGTATCCAATAAAGCCTAACCCTGAGAATCTTGTGTTTGTGTCTACTACGCCCACAGGATAGAATCAATGGCTCTGGGATAAGGCCAGCCCCACAACAGGCTTGGCACGGGAGGATGAGGGACACCAAATGCTACCCACTTGACTACACTCTAGTACCTGATGCTTAGAGACCTCTACCGGCCCTTCTCGTGGTTAATTCAAGTCTGTGGACAGATCATTGGAATCAAAGATTAGGCCAATAGGTCTATTTCTCCAGGGACAGCCTGGGTTGACCAGGATGCAGCAGCTCATTTTCCTCACAGGGAAGGACATTGCTAGCGACTCATTATAGGAGAGCACAAGTATCATGGACAGCACATGCACAGACGGGAAACTCGAAGGCTCCTTCACAAGAGCTAGAGAGATGTTGTCTCAGCACCCACTGGGCAGCTCACAATTGTAACTGTGGCTCCAGGGGATCCAATGCCCTCTTCTGTCTTCAGTGGGGACACACACACACACACACACACACACACGAGGCGGGGTTGGGGGAGGGAGTAGGAGAGGGAGAGAAGAGAGGAGAAGAGGCAAAAAGAGGAAAAAGGAGAGGGAGAGGAGGGGAGGGAAGACTACGCACAGGGCATAAAAGACATTTATTTGGGATCAACCGCCACAGATAACTTCTGTGTTCCAGAAGAGGACATCGAGCCACTAGAAAGTGTCTAGTCTAGAAGGAACTGGCCTCCATCTGGGGTCTGGAGGACTTCACTGGGGTTTAGGAAAGATTGCAATACAAAGATGCTCTCAGGAGTTGCACTTCGGCGCTCTACCCTCTGACTCACCCACAGGCTCTGCTGCTTTGTCATGGGTATCACTGGACGGCACACTTCATATAAAACAGTAGGGTAAGCAGCTCGAGTGGACAGATGGATGATTACCCTTGTGTGGGTGCAAGGAGAGAACCTTCCATAGACCCAGTCTCATGCTTTGAGGCACAGACTGCCTTCAGTTAAAAAGGTGGACCGGTTTCCCTTAGATACTTGCAGCTTTGTGTTCCTGGTTCTGATCCTTCTTACCTCCGGTAAGGGACCACAGGCTGAGACTGCAGGAGGACTCGAAAGATGGTTTGCAGCCATCCCTCAAAGCACCACAGTGTGGGGTAGAAAGTCTCCACAGTGACTGGACAGTGTTGCTGCAGGAAGGCCAGAAACTGGGGCCCAACCACCAGACAAGGCCTCTACAATCACACAACACAATTGGCCTCTTTTTTTTTTTTTTTTTTTTTTGTCCCAGACACTGTAGGATAAATGATCCTTTCCCAAGAATCCAGCCTTAAGGATATTGCTTTGCCACAATGAAGTATCCAGCACAGCTAAGAATAGAGTGGCAGAGTCACCTTAAATAATATAGTCATATGGTGTCCCCCAAAACCTCAGTCCTCAAGTGTCACCTCCAGAACTGACCCTGAAGGGAGAACTGCAGCAGTTGACTAGGTGCTGACTGCCGCACTCTGCCTGTCCCCTCCTCAAACCCATTTGTGCTAGAACAGACAGTATGAGCTGCTCAGTTGATCCCCTAGAGTAAGGCCTTTGGTCCTCTGGCAGGTTTGTTGGAGTCTTTGTCTGATTTGGTTTTATATGGAATGATGTGCCTGTCCTTGTGAGCATGAGCACACAGGTCAGATCTCGCCTGTGGGGTCCAGAAGAAGTGCTGGTTCCTCTAGAGCTGGAGTTACAGGGAGCTGAGAGCCACAGCATGGATGCTGGAAACAAACTGATGCGCAGGCACAGCAGGTCATACTCTTGAGGACAGAGACATCTGCCCAGGGTCCTGCCTCTGTCCTAGGCTTGTGTCACCATGGTGTGCTGGTTGGGATCCTTGACCAGGTGAAGGAACCTCTGCCATTCATGCCATTCAGTATGACCATTGCATTGTAGCAGAGTTGTTCAAATGCATCGCCCTGAAGCTTGCTCTAGTCACTCTGGCTCCTTCGGTACCACATTGTTCTTAGTACCCCATTGTCTACGTATTTCTGCCCTTCTCTAATGTGTGTTCTCAGTGATGAAGGGGTGCCTCATATTCTCATGGGGAGCCCTGGTCCTTAGGCCGTGTTTTACAGGAGGAAGCATCCTAACATGAACAACTATTTCCTTTACTCATGCCAACTAGAGCAAAGGGCACGGTGACGGGACAATAGGGACAAAAAGGTCAATGGGCACCAAGCCCTGACTCTCAGCCTCTTTGCGTGGTTCTGAATGGCCATGAAGTAAATGAGCTGGCCTAGCCTCATAGACTTCAGGACACTGTGCTGAACAAAGTCGGAGGACCCCAGCCTACAACCAGAATGGAAGAGTTGTGTTCGGATACAGTAGCTCAGTGGTAAACTCCAGGACAATCTCCAGCAGTGGAAAAGTAAAAATTGTTTTTTAAAAAAATCAAAATTGCACTTGGAAGTAACTTAACGAGTCCTGTTTTATCTTACAGCCATGCTACTCAGAAGGGGCTAGGCAAATGATCCATTAACAAGGCCAAGTTTATACTGTGACTTGGACCCTGGTCCTTAAATCCTGAAATAACAATGAAACCACTGTGCTACAATGCACACAAATCCCAACCTTATTTGATAAGACAGAAGGAAAGAAATTAGGACTCTCATAAGTTGGTCGGTCTGCCCAAAGACAGAGCAAGCAAGAGCAAAGCAGAATTAATAATTATTGTATCAACAATAATAACATAAGCAAAATTTATTGAATGATCACTGCATTCCAGGTATTATGTTAAGTAAGCGTTCTATGTGATTTTAAACATTTTAAAATTTACTATTTATATTCTAGATTTCTTTTTATTTAATATGTGGGAGTATTGGCCTACATGTATGTTTGTGCATCACCCATATGCCTGAAAGCCAGAGAGGGTGTCACAGACAGTTGTCAACTGGAAGTGTCATGCAGGTGCCAGGAACAGATTCTGGGTGCCCGCAAGCATTCAACTACCTCTGTACTCCCAGTTGACATTACCTCTATCTACAAGTGGTCGTCTCTGGAACAGGCCCCATGACCCCACTCTGGGGGCACAGGGTCTTGTCATGTTATCTGTAGGCTGAAAACTCTTGGGCTCAAGTGATCCTCCTGTCTCAGCCTTCCCAGTAGCCAGGAGTAAGCATTTAACTCCTATAGATCTTTTATAACCAGTTGAATCAATGGCTTTCTGGTTAGACTCAGTTACCTAAATAGATTTTAATGAGATAAAACCCTTAGCTTTCCTGGATGAGTAGATTGTGTATTTTACTACATTTCAGTTTGATCAAACAAATAAAAACAACCTGTTAAGACTTTTCAGCACTGTATCAACAAAGAGTCTAGAACTTAGGACAGGACTGAGTATGCAGAGAATTATCCATCTGTCCTAAGCTTGGCAGGAACCTCAGCCAGTCCTCAAGAGACAGGAGGTCCTGCTAAGCTGATAGACTGGTGCCAGAACCACACAGGCATCCGTTTCACTATTCTGTGCAGCTAGCGAACATAATTACATCTTTTAGTTAGACCACCTAAAATACAGGCAAAGCAGAAAGCCTGCACCTCTGACACTTGAGGATACCCTCCACCCCACCTTTATTCAAAGGTCAGTCAACAGAACAGGGGAGCACCCTTCCTGTGCTCAAAAACCCAGCTGGCGGGGGAAGATTCCAAGAATCTAAAAGACGCAGAACCGGCTCTCCAGTAGGTCCTAAGAGCAAAATTCACTTGGCGCCCCAGAACCAACTACTCAAGCTTTCAGAAAGGGCTCTCATGCCCAGGCTGGAGGATACCCGCATACACTCTAGTACCCCAAGCACGCCGGCCATCGCTCGGCCCTCACCCACCTGGGGCACACATGCCCAGTAGTAGCCCAAGTACAAAGCAACGCCAAGAGCTAAGAGCAGAGAGATGGTGTCTGACCAGGTGCCGTTTTGCGGGCTCGGAGAGGAACTCAGCATCTTGGTAATGTAGGGGTCTTCCATTTCCCAGGCTCCCGGCTGCCTCTAGCTCCTGAACTTTGACTCTTCCGCTTGCGGTTTGTCGTGCACCCGCCTCTTGCAAGCCATTGGTAGGCCTCTGCAGGTCCCACCTACCGTCGGCCCCGCCCACCGCCAGTCCGGAGGCGAGGGGCGGTGTCTGGCTGTCAGTCCAACCTCTCAAGCCCAGAGGCAGTAGCCTAGTCACCCAAGTCACTCCACTACTCCTGCTTCCCCTCAGTGGGGAAAAGCACTGAAGCCCTAGGGCAAGCTGCGCCCCCGCAGCTGCCATCTTGGTGCGTGCCATCTCTGGATGGCGAAGGCTGAATCAGGCACCCTGGGAAGGTCCACCAGACACTCCTGTGGCTCAGGCACAGAGTACAGCCATTCACCGTGACCCTCACACACTGGGCACAAGCACTGCCCAACAAACTGATACATACTCAGGTTTCAGCCGCTCAGTGGTGACATTCTCCTCCCTAGGTTAAATGTCTCTACGTGGTCTCTTACAATCCCCACCAACAGAAAGGGCGCAACAGATGATTTGCTCATCAGCTGTGTAGCAAGCATTGGATATAAACGCCTCAGGGACCCTGTCCCTGTTTTTCCTTGGGTACTTGAATAGTGACTGCACTAGAACCTTGGCTTCCCACGGTATCTGTAGACTAGAATCATCTGGGAAGTTGTACAGCTCCTGGTCCAGGGACCAGCCAAGGCACAGATATATCAAGGTATGTCGTGGGAAAACCTCTCTATGAGATCTGAATGTTCCCCGAGTCCGACTCTTAGGACAGAAATGCTAGTACTCTCTGCTGCTATTTGGGGGTAGGCGAGAATGACTCCCTGACTTTCAATGGTGGAAAATCAGTAGGAGTTTCCCAGGCAAGAGGGAGGAAGAGGACTAGCTCCAGGGTAAGTGAAAATGTGGAGTTAGGGGCTTTCTTACAGGAGCCAAAAAGAGATGTGTGGCTGGGTGTGTGGGTGATCAAGGAGAAGTTTCTGAACAGCTTCCTGAGGGCAGAGGAAACCCATCAAAGGGCTCGAGAAGAAAGGAGGGGTGGAGAGAGAGAGAGAGAGAGAGAGAGAGAGAGAGAGAGAGAGAGAGAGAGAGATTACATTATTTTGGGGTAGCTAGATGTGATCTAGGTAAAACACATATAGAAGTTCATTATGTCTTTTTAAAGTTTCATTGAAACATCAAATTTAAAATCTTAGATTCTCTAACACTGCTGACAAGCCAGGCACAAGGAAACACATCTGTAATCCCCACTCAGCCTCACTCAGGAAGCTGAGGCAGGAGACCCTTTAGTTTGCAGCCAGCTTGAGCTACAAGGAAAACTATTGATAAAATGATGTTTTCTTACAAACACTCAAGCTGAGAGGAACAGAAGATAGCAAGAGTATGTATTCCCTGTGAGAGTTTGTATCTTCAACTGTTTTCTTTCCACTGTGATGTGTACAGTTTTGGCTACTGATTCTTCACCGTGTAGAAGCAAGAGGTGCCTTCCACGTCTTGTTGACTAGTATCTTGTTTGGTTTGTTCAGAGGCCTTGCTAGAGACCAGATCTAGGGTCTTGTGTGTGTGAGAGGACCATGATATTGCTGGATGGCACCCCCTTTCTTTCTTGACTCTTTCAGTGCTTTTAGAGCTTTTGAAAACAAAAAAGCAATATTACACAATTCTTTAGTTATAAACAATGTTCAGAAGTAAGAAAATTATATACAAGAAAACCTTGCATTTTAGCAAACCCCATACATTTTGTTGTTGGGAATATAAAAAAGTATTGTCATTATGACATAATTACATTTCTCTCTTTTTCTCTATTTCTCTCTCTCTCTCTCTCTCTCTTTGTTGTTATTTTGAGATGAGCTTTATCTGTGTAACCCTGGCTGTTCTGGAACTTGATATGTAGACCAGGCTAGGCTTGAACTCCTAGAGATCCACCTGCTTCCACCTGCTTCTGCCTCTCAAGGGCCAAATTAAAGGTGTTTGCCACCACCACATGGCCATAATTATATTTCTAACTAATGACTCCATAGGTAGATACATCTTTGTCAATATATTTTTAATCTTAAGAGGAAGAAAGAGGGGCTGGAGAGATAGCCCAGTGGTTAGGAACATTGGCTGTTCTCCCAGAGGATCTGGATTCAATTCTCAACTCACAACTGTTCATAACTCCAGTTCCAGGGGATCTGACACCCTCACACAGACATACATGTAGACAAAACACCAATGCACAAAAAATAAAAAAATTATTTTTTTAAAAAGAGGAAGAAAAAAATCATGGTAACCACAATTACTGGCTCTTGAGGGCACTCACAGAAATTTCGTGACAGTCCTTTTCCCCAAAGGCTAATAAGATTGTTTTTTGGTCAAGCCTGGACACCTTGCACATGCTCAGTGAATGCTCTGCCAGCCACTGTGTTACACATGGAGCCCTAATACATAGTTCTTAAAGCAGAGGGTTTAGCACTTTTCATTCCTACCTAATCAAAAGCACATCCTTCCAGACGCTTCTTCGAGGAGGGCAAATGATGTGTCAAACACACGTGATCTCCTAGCATGAGATATGACCACAAGTATTGTCTACCTCTAATTAAAAAATATTTCCTGTATTCAATGCAATAAAAAAATTTAAAAGCATTGAAAAATTAAGCATTTTGGTCTAACTGTGAATTTAGTTCCAAACCTTCATGAGTCTTAGCTTTCAGAAGTAAATAAATGATTTTATAAATATCACCCAGAATTGGCTGGGTTTTTTTTTTTTTTTTGGATAGTTTTCTAAACAGGGAGAATTGTTTTCAAGATTGTAGGTCCTATCTTTAACCAGATTTACTGGTTACAGTTATTCTTTTGCTTCCCTCTGAGTGCGTGTGTATGTATGTGTGTGTGTGTGCGCGCGCGTGTGTGTGTGTGTGTGTGTGTGTGTACCCACACACATGCACATGTATGTATAAATTGGCTATTTTTTTCTGAAAACAAGAATTTGTAGACTCTAATCTTAATAAAATTCACTTTCTGTCTGCCACTTAGCCTTTTGCTAGAAACCCTTCAATGATAAGCAAACTACAGTGAAGTGGAATTCAGTGTATTAATTTGGAAAAGGAGCCAGATTTTCATTTTAAATATTCAGTAGCACATTTTATTAGAATGAAGATGGCGGGCACCTTGATGCTGTCCACTTATGAGTCTGAGAAAAATCAGGCAGGGAGATGAGGTAAACTCAGCACAACCCGATTAACATAATTACACCCTGATTTTCCTTCCTGCCTCCTGGGAATTAGTGAATTCTCCCTCTCTCTCTCCCAGCCCCCTTAACTCTCCAGGAAGATGGGAACCCTGACCTAGGAGCTTAGTCAGACAGAGTCTTCAGTGTTTTACACCAGAGCAATCCACCTGCTCAGCTGCTGCTGGTATTTGATGGAGAAGCCTAGGTCTCCAGACAGTTTCTAGGTGGCCAGCAGCTAGCAGCAAGGACATGAGGGGTTAACCCCTTCCTGAGAGGAATGAACTTTGACGAGCTGGAGAGGCTGACTCTGAAATGCCTGTGTGTGTGTGTGTCTATAAGCACTGCTTCAAAAAGCAAAATGTGGGAGATAAGGGGGAAATAGATTATTTGGGGGAAAAAAATGTACCAAGACAGGCATTTAAAATGCTTTAACGGAAATTTACATATGGAAATTGTTTATAAATTTATAAATTACACACTATATTATATTATACATCTATTGTATGACAGCTGATGCTTTTGGAAGACGCATGGAGAGAACTGTTTGTTCTAGGAATAGCACAATGGGCCATTCCGGTTGATGCTAACACTCTACTGGCTGTATCTGGTAAGAATTGCACAATTTAATGACTTTGTTGTAGAAATTACCATAAAAATACATTACTGAAAAAAGAACAACATGTAAAGAATAACAAATTCCCGCTGAACAATAGAGTATACCTGTCATTTATAAATCTATATTTAAATGCAAATAATGTTGTTTCGTTGTATTCATGACTGCTTGCATTGTTATTTAAATGCAAATTACTGTGTTTGTTATCATCCAAGAGAAGATTTTATATTAACTTTCATACAATATAGCCAGTTTACATGGAACCAGATATCTTGGAGTGACAATTGGACAGATATTGATATGCAGGATTTTGTCAAAAATCAATATTAAAACATGAAAATGCCTTCATATTAGAGTATTTATCCCAGATTTCAATTCTAGGCATGAATAGTGACAACACAGACTCCCAGAAGCTGAACAAGATTATATCTGAAATACAGGCTTTGCAGGAGGTGGTGGCTCGGTTCAGACAGCTCCGATTAGACGCCACTGAATTTGCCTGTCTGAAATGTATTGTCACTTTCAAAGCTGGTAAGCAGACACACACCCCTGTCTCTTGCCACTCCATTGATCCAGCTACTTCAGAGCCTAGCTCTAGACTGACTTGTGGGGGAGGGGGGAAAGAAGGAAAAAAATGGGTGGAGGTGACATGGTGTTTTCATGGATCTGACATTCTGAGGTTGGCTGAATCTCAGCAGCTGTGGAGATTGGCATGCTGTCCAGGTATTCCTCCATTTCCTGTGCCCTGTGTGCCTACAGTGCTGCCTGTGCCGTCTCTGACAGTTTCCTGGTCTTCATTTCTAGTTCCTACACACAGTGGTTCTGAACTGAGAAGTTTCCGGAATGCTGCCGCCATTGCAGCTCTCCAAGATGAGGCTCAGCTAACTCTCAACAGCTACATTCATACCAGGTGACCGCTATTTGCTGAGAACGTGTACTTAAGAAAATTGCCTCCATTGTGAATGCTCCCACAGACAGTAAGAAGCCAGTTCAAATGGCCTGGCTAATTATCCTGTTGCCAGCCAGTTAATTGAGTTAGAATCCATGTCCTCACCTGTCTCCAGAGGGGAGGGCAAGAAGGGCACATTGAATTAGGTGATGTGTGTGTGACTGGAGCATATTGCCAGGCACAGTACACGTGTTGGCTGAACAAGCTGACCAACCAAAAAGATGTGTGCATTTGTGAGTCTGGGCATGGAGAGAGTCAAAAAGCACATTAGGTTGATAGCTCTTAACCACTGAGCCATCTCTCCAGCCTCTCCCCTTCCCACAGTCTCTGATTCTCTACAGTCTGACCGGTTGTGTGGGTCTCTGTAGCAGGCACCATCTACTGATCTCCTGGAAAAAAGCAGCTCCCTGGTGAGGGGTAGGAATTATACTAACTATGGGTAGACAGATAAAAAGGAAGAACACGGTTTGACAGGGTCCATTTATCAACATAACACTAGGAGGCTCTTCTCTAAGGTGTATGACCTACTCAGTCACAGGTTCTTAGCCCGGCTAACAGTACCAGGCATGAGTTCATCTTGTGGTGTGGCCCTTAAGTCCACTACAAAATCATCTTGAGCAACCAGACACACTTACACACACACTGTTTTTGTTTCTAGGTGCTATTCTACTGCATGTAAAATAAGCCATTCTCACTGAGTGACCAGCTCTTTCCCAACTAGAGAATAGTGGAAGGGTTAATCCACTTGCAGACCATCAGGAGTTAACACTTGGCTTGGGTGTGTCTCGGTGACACAGTACTTGATTGCTGTGCACACACAAGGCTCTGGGTTCATCCCAGCGCATGCACGAGGCAGTTGGGTGTCTGTAGTTTGTGGATTCTCCCAAAGCCATCCTTCCCAGAACATGCTGTCTGCAGCAGCTTCTTAGCGGGGAAGGTTTGCCGTGTTGGGCAGATGCCACAGGCATTAGCAGAGACTGCTTAGGCATCCCGGCTGCCTCAGATCTGCAGAGCTCTCTCTGTCCAATCCCGGAGAGAAACAGAGCCTCAGAAGAGAGATGTGACCAAAGCTAAAGGAAGGCCTAGCAGACCGCTCAGCAAACAGAGCAAATGGCGAAACTTAGGTATTTTGCTTTTCTGTCTGTTAATGAGGTTATTTGGTATTTTTGTTTGGTTGAACAGTTTTTTGGTTTTGTTTTTGTTGGGGTTTTTTTGGTTATTGCTGTCTGATGGATGGTCTTGTTGTGTAAGCCAGACCAGCCTGATTCACTATCACTGTGTAGTCCAGGCCAGTTTTAAACTCGTGCCAACCGTTCTGTCTCAGTCCCCAGGTCCTGGGATTAGAGGGATGAACCACCATATCTAACATTTTTTTACTCTAGATAAATGTCATCATTTCCATATTACCATAGAAAGTGTGCTCCGGTGCCCTGCCCAGAGTTCCTATAAAACTCGATACAGTGAGACCCAAACAGGGGTCAGAGGGATTTACAAGCCTTATGTCCAGCTGGCTTTTGATTCTTTGTCCAGAGCAAAGAGGTGAACATGCACATTGTTCTCCTCGACTCTCCGTAGAGTGGGGCTACAGGGTAGCTAAATACAGTTAGTGAGGTCCTGTGGAGGGATTTGATGTCTCTCAGTTTCTGGCACCTGAGACTGAGGTGGAACGTGGTTCAGTTGTCCATCTGTCCCTGGCACCTACCTGTGGCTCAGTCATACAGGTGTCTCTGGAGCTCAGTTTTAGCTAGCTTTTTCTTAGTGGAGGGATGCTTTTCTGCAGGGATGCCTGACTCCAGACCATTGGCTGGAGTGTGATCGGGGTGTGAGAGGTGGGACACAAGCATCTGAAGACAGTGGGGAATTGAACGTGCACGTCTGAGTGCAAATGTGTGTTGGACATCAAGTAAGGACATTGTTAAGCAATTTTTCCCATCTTTAATTATATGCCAATTTCATTGACATGAAAGTTGGGTGGCACTGCCACCCAACAGAACTCAGTCTTTAATTTGCAGTGTAATAAGGGTGGAATTATTCCTGAGAGTGACAAAGTGTAAGGCCTGAATGATAATTTGGAGAATTGCTTAGAAAAAGAAGCCATTTTATTTGAGAGAAATCGTCTGTTCAAGAGAGTCGAGAATTTAAAAATATGAATTCCACTGCTAGCTTCATAATCAACCCTATGGTCATTCCCTACAGTGATAACGTTACGTTTATTATTTGGTTTAAAATTAGCATCAGGTGTCTTAAAGCTGATTTTTCTAGAAATAAAAATGTACTCCCTTTGCTAATATTGAGATGGAGATAGATAGATAGATAGATAGATAGATAGATAGATAGATAGATAGATGATAGATGGTTGGATGAACAGACAGACAGACAGACAGGGCAAGCAAGCATGTGATTGGTCAATGTTATTCCTGTTTTGAAGGATCCCAGTAGTCTATCTGTGAAACAGGGACAGAGGCACCTTTCCTGGAGTCTACTGCTGGATAATATGTTTCTGAAGAGGCCCAAGTCAGGAAGTTCCCCCGGGGATGATGTGTGTTCAAGCATAAGATGTGAGTTGCTGATTGTGTGGGGCTCTGACGTTGCTTTCCTGGCTTCTCCTATTGCAGATACCCCACCCAACCCTGCCGATTTGGGAAACTCTTGTTGCTTTTACCAGCTTTACGGTCAATCAGCCCATCCACCATAGAAGAAGTGTTTTTCAAAAAAACCATCGGCAACGTGCCGATTACGAGACTACTTTCAGATATGTACAAATCCAGCGACATCTAAGGTCTCCAGCACCCACTTTCCAAGATGGAGCAGTATCAGATGGACGTCTACCATGCAGGACGAGCCTCAAATAACAAGACTTTCTGGAAGGAGAAACCTGGGAGGGAGTGGCCTTCAGGAAAAAAAATGCCAGTGGACTCAAAACAACAGCTATGACCTGCTGCTCCCCTGAAACAGGACAGCTGGAAAGGCCAGATGGTTACAACAGTTACTGTCGACATGCCCTGGGACGGGGTGAACTGGAGTCACCAGTACAGGCTGAGCCAGGCATTCTGCCTCTGACCTGGAAGATCCAGCTGAATCACACAAAGCTGAAAGACAAGCCATGCTTTCTTTCTTCTTTGTAGCACATAAAGTCAGTTGATCAACAGTAGCTTTTTGTGTAACATCATCATATACTGCGGCCTTCAGGACTTGGTTGGGTTGGAACATTTACTTAAAAAAATAATGCTTAGGTTTTAAATCAAAAGTATTATCAAATGTTTTCCTTCTATCATAATACCTTCATTAAGTGGCCTTCAGAACCAAGAGAGTAAGCGAAACGTACCTTATGCTGTGTGATTTCCTTTCCCTCCCCACACCTTCTGGTCTTTTCTTTTCTGTTCTTTTCTGTTCTTTTCTTTTCTTATACCGTAGGCCAGGCACCTCTTCAAAGGAACTGACGACAAAGGCACGTCTCAGCAAGACTTTGGGATGAATAGCAAGGGGAGACAGAATAGCTCTGCTGAAAGAGCCTCAGTCCAGGGAGGAGGAGTCCGAACAGCGGAAACCAAATGACGTGGAGCCAGGTGATTGGGCGAGGTGGTCGCTGTCCCGTCATCAGAGTGCTGAAGCCAAAAGCTATAGGGTCAGGGAATCACACCAGACAAGCCAGAAGGAACTTCAAGGAGATGCGTGCCAAACGGATTCCTGAACATTCCATTGCTAACAGCCTGGGACTCTTGGATGCCTTTCAGAAAACTCTGGTTTCTAATAAAACCTCAAATGCATACATACACTCCCCCCATACCATCCTACACTCTTAAGCTGCTCCTTGGGTATGAATCTATACTTATGGAAATAGAGAAACAAACAGTTTTAAATAGCTGCTGTACTTTTCACGTTTTGATTTATTAGGTACTAGCACCGAGGAGGGAGATTCAGCACTGGCCTAGCATAGAATGAGACAAACTTCTCTTGTACAAAGTGAATTAACTGATTTGTGAAGTTAAAAGGTTGTACTCATTGTATTTACAAAGAATAAAAATATATTGAATTTAAGTAAACACTGCCTGATTTCTTTCCCACCTCCCTGGCTTGTTCGTCCCCATCAGCTACAAGGTGGTGGCATCCCCAGCTGGTGTAAAAACCGAAGCTCGGAGCCCTCCAGCACAGAGCAGAAAGAACTGAGAAACAAAGGAAATGCCCTCTATAGTGAATCCCATTTGTAAAATGGCGAATAAAGAAACGAAATATAAGATCCATTCTCTGTGCCTCTCAGAAGTAATTGCATCTGTTAGGGAAATTGCTGTGTGGGGAAGACCAAGGCTGACAAAGGGTCTTCATTTCACCGGGTTTCCAGCCTTACCAGTGACATAGGGAGGGAGCCACAGGAAGGCCATGCAGTTGAGGGAAATGGTCCTCGCCACAGCAGCAGGGAGAATGGTGTGGACTTGGGAGTGGCAGACCAAGCAAGACCTGGTATGTCTCTGTTCTCAGCTGAAATGACCTTACAGATAGGATACACAGAAGTTCAACCATCTTGTCTGCTGCCTCTACAGAGAATGGGAAGTTCATCTTGCTCGGTAACACAGTGCTAGAAGATACATCTGTTGTGCACATGGCTCTGGGTTCTACACTCAGGGCCGTACGTAAGCGAAAGGTACTCAGTTAGGTCTGCAAGAGCATCCCTTCAGCTCGGCTTGCATTTCACAACTTAAATGTCCGTCAACAGAAAATGGACAGACTGTGGCAGATGGAGTGACTAGCTCCCGTGTTTCAGTGAGGGTAAATCAGACTTGAGGAGGAAAGACGAGCTGCATGGGATATGTGACCTGGTATCATTTATGTAGTTTTGCAGCCGACAGACCAGATACTCTTTGCAAGCATTTAAGTGTTACAGTGGACATTTAACGCAATCGTGAGTAGTATGAGTGCTTATGCTCATTGTAGACAGAGGTCAGATCTGAGAAAACAGTAAGATTGGTAAGGGATAACAAGAAGACCTTCTTGTGTAGTGGTTTAGTTATTAATAAACAAAAATGAGAACCACCTGTGAGATCAAAGGCTGGACCTGATAATACTGCCTGACGGGTCCAGGGCTGTTTATCCACGTTTAATCCAGTTTTGCTTCGTTGCTGCAGGGTAGCAACTCCCAAAGCACACATAAATCAAAAGCTCCACCTCTGTCATTGGATCTAAGTAATATATCTGGGGGTGGGGGGAGGAAACTTCCCAATTTAGAAAGCCCATCTGTCAAATGCGAGTACTGCATTGATTTCATTGGGGTTGTTGTTGTTATTGTTTGTTTGAGACAAGGCCTTGCTGTGTAGCTCTGTGTAGCCTCAAAAACACAATCCTCCTGTCTCAGTGTCCCTAGTACTGTGTTTGCAAGCATGTGCCACCATGCACCAAAAGCACAGAGAGGGCAGGGTCTGGGGCTCAGTTCATAAAGTGCTCACTTAGTATATATAAAGCCCTGGGTTTGGTCCCCAGCATTGCATAAGCCAGAAGTGGTACAGCACATGGATAACCTCGGCACTGGGGAGGTGGAGGCAGGAGGAGTGTGAGGTCATTCTTGACACATTAGCAAATTAGAGGCCTGCCTGGGCTACGTGAGAAAATTGTTTCAGGAAAAGAAAGTATGTGTCTTAGGGTTTTATTGCTGTGAAGAGACACCATGACCAAGGTAACTCTTATAAGGACAACATTTAATTGGAGCTGGCTTACAGGTTCAGAGGTTCAGTCCATTATCATCAAGGTGGGAGCATGGCAGTGTCCAGGCAGGCATGGTGTAGGAAGAGCTGAGAGTTCTACATCTTAATCCCACGGCAGCCAGAAGGAGACTATCTCTTCTGGGCACTGGGCAGATCTTGAGCCTAGGACCTCAGAGCCCACCCCCACAGTGACACCCCTCCTCCAACAAGGCCACACCTCCTAATTATGTTACTCCCTGTTGGCCAAGCATTCAAACATACGAGTCTATGGGGGCCAAATGTATTTAAACCACCACAGTATATAAAAAAGCTCACTTTCTCACCTTGAGGCTGGATCCTGTAGATACTGTTCTCTGCTAACTGATGTTTTGGTTTGGGACTTTTGCACACGTTACGAGCCTGGTTTGAGTCTCATTCGTAAAAGCAGAGATGGCCAAGCAAAGACAACCTAGTGAGCGCTTGTGTTCTGTGGCTTGTCACACCAATTCCATTCCCCTTTAATATTACTGAGAATGCTTGGTAGATTAAGGTAGATTACAGTTGTAGTTGGTATTATCATGGGTTAGTTAATCACCCATCACCCCACCTGGGAGGGAACCCCTCCCCTGAGGTTAGAGTTGACCCCGGGCCTGGCTCTGGCCAATGGAAAGTAACCTGGTTTCAAATTCCCAAACATTTCATTGATAGCTCAAGGTTTCAAATCTAATTTAGGATTCCCTGAATTGAGCCCATTAGCCAGAGACATTCTCTGTGGCTACCTTCCTTAAGCTCCTTTTTTTGTTTTGTTTTGTTTTCAAGTGGGGCTTCCTTCATAGCCCAGGCTGACCCCAAATTCTAATCCTTTTTCACCTTCTTGAATGCTGAGATTCCAGGCTTGTCCTGCCATGCCCAGTCTTTAATTCAAATGGAAACACTTTACTTTCTCCATGTGTCTGGCTGTTCCCTGGCTGTTGGAGGATCAAACCCAGGGCTTCATTCACACTCGGCAATACCAGGTTGGATCCGATCCAGTGTCACTACTTTGGTGCCTTAGGTTGCTATTGCTGTGACAAAACTCTGTCACCAAAAGCAATTTGGGGGGAAACAGGGCTTATTTCATCTTATAACTCTCAGATTACAGTCCATCACTGAAGGAAGTCAGAGCACGAACTGAAGCAGAGGCCATGAAAGAACTATGCTTACTGGCAGCCAGAACTACCTGCCCAGGGAAGGCACCACCCACACTCAGCTGGGCCCTCCCACATCAAGCGCCAATCAAGAAGATGCCCCACATGCCAGCTGGCAGGGGCATTTTCTTAACTGAGTTTCCCTCTTCCCAAATGGTGGCAGCTTGTGTCAAGTTGACATAAAGTAGCAAGCATACTGGGTATTTCACTTTATGGATGGTTCTCTGACTACCTCTCAGTTGATTGACAGCTTCTCACTACACCAATCTAAACTGCAAAGAAACGAACTTCTAGGTATACTTTTTGTGGCCTTGTTGGGGTATTTCCGTAGGATAAAGTCTTCCAGTGGTGTTTCTGGGTCAAAGATTATATGCATTTTTAATTTTGATGAATAGTGCCAAATGGTTCTCCAAAAGGGTTATATCAATTTGCACTCCTACCAAGAGGGCCTGAGAGCCCATTTCACCGCTCAGAATTTAAAAGTGCTTAATCAGACACGGGCTTGATGAACACTTCAGAGGCTGTTAGAGAAATACAGAAAATGCATATGTTCCTATCACTAATGTGCCTCCCATATGATGCTCTGGCTCCAGGGAAGTAGGTCTTGCCCGGCCCCCATGGTCAGAGCTGCGTTGCTAGACCACTTCTGTGAACCTGACAGATTTCCATGTCACAATGAAGGTCGGGAGAAAGTGGATACATGCAGATGAAGAAGCGCTGTGGCCAATGTCCTCTACTGAGAACGATCTTGCTACACAAGTCAAGGTACCTGCGGCTGGAGTGTCACTTAGAGGTAAAATAAGTGCATGCTGTGTGCAAGGCCCTGGGCTCGGCCCTCAGCACTGCGACAGAAACAAGCAGCCCCCCCAAACATCAGAGAACAGATGCTCCTTTAAGAACATTACCAAAAATAATCACT